ACCTCTGCTCCATATGCTTATCTAATTCCCTTTTGAAGCCGTCCATGCTTGTAGCCGCCACCACTTCCTGTGGCAGTGAATTCCATGTGTTAATCACTCTTTGGGTGAAGAAGTACTTCCTCTTATCCGTTCTAACCCGAGCGCTCTGCAGTTTCATGGAGTGCCCACGAGTAGGGTTGCCAGCTCTGGGTTGGGAAATGCCTGGCGATTTTGGGGATGGAGCCTGGGGAGGGTGGGGTTTGGGGAGGGACCCTCAGCCAGGTGCAATGCCATGGGGTCCATCCTCCAAAGCAGTATTTTCTCCAAGGAACTTGATCTCTGTAGTCTGGAGATCAACTGTCATAGTGGCAGATCTCCAGGTGTCGCCTGGAGGCTGGCAATCCTCACCTCAAGCCATACGGCTTAGTAGAACAGGGCTTAGTGCCCATTCTCAAAAGAAGTGGGAAACAGAGCCAGGGAAACCATTTTTAAGAACTGAAGATGTAGGAAGAATTCACAGCATTCTATATCAACAGTGATTATCTGCTAACTCTTGAATCAGCCCAAAATTGGACTAGTAGGGGCATAAAGAAGAGCTCTACAGAGATCCAGTTTGACAGAGAGCCAGTTTGGTGTAGTGGTTAAGTGCCTGGACTCTAATCTGGGAGAACCGGGTTCGATTCCCCACTCCTCCACTTGCACCTGGCTGGATGACCTTGGCCAAGCCGTAGTTCTGGCACAGCTGTTCTTGAAAAAGAGTCATTTCTGTCAGAGCTCTGTCAGCCCCACCTACCTCACAGGGTGTCTGTTGTGGGGAAGGGAAAGGAGTTTGTAAGCCGCTCTGAGAACCCTTTGGGTAGTGAAGGGCGGGGTATAAATCCAATCTCTTCTTCTCTCTCAGCCCCACCTACCTCACAGGGTGTCTGTTGTGGGGACGGGAAGGGAAAGGAGATTGCAAGCCGCTCTGAGACTCCTTTGGGTAGTGAAGGGCAGGATATAAATCCAATCTCTTCTTCTCTCTCAGCCCCACCTACCTCACAGGGTGTCTGTTGTGGGGAGGGGAAGGGAAAGGAGTTTGTAAGCCGCTCTGAGACTCCCTTTGGGTAGTGAAGGGCGGGGTAGAAATCCAATCTGTTCTTCTTCTTCTACTGGATCAGACCAGTGATCCATCAAGTCTAGCATCCTGTTTGATTCCATAACCAACCAGTTGCACTGGGAAAGCAAAACTAACAGAGCCCAGGGATCAAGGTCTTTTTCTGCTGCTGCCTCCCAGTCCCAGTACTGGTATACAGACGTTTGCTGCCTCTGTGGATGAAGGCTCCCTTCACTCACTGGGGCCAGTACTCATTGATGAAACTCTCCTCCTAATAACTGTCTAATCCCCTTTATAAATCCATCTATGCTCATGGCCACCACTGCAAAATAATTGTGCTTCCTCTGAATCCCTAACTGATTGCACTTGTTAAACAGAACAGTAAAGCTGTCTTTGAGGAGTCAGATGGAAAGCTGCTCTTAAAATCATCACCGGGGCATCCTGGACAGAGCATTCAACTTGGAGCAGGCAGACCAGAGTTCAAATCCCCACTTAGCCATGAAGCCTGCTATGTGACTTTGGGCTAATCGACCTCTGACGCAAGCCTACTAGCCTGGCTCTTCTGAACGCTGCACTCCTTGTAAGAAATCACTTGCACCTGCGGCCCTGCAGAGAAGGACAGCCAGTGAATCCGTCTTGGAGAGGCACAGCCTGGCTTCCTGTTCAAAGTTATTTCTGGATGTTTTCCTGTGCACCTGGCACAACACATCCCTGGACATAGGCCACTGAACACTCAGGATCCCCTGGAGGGATTTCCCTTGTGTACACGTGACTGGGAGTGGCTTGTTACTAAGAAATCACCAAGGAGGGAAGATTCCTACCACAGCTTTTTGGAGAAAGGTGTTAAAACACCAACTTGCTATGGACAATATCCTTCTCCGATTTATTTTAAGCAAATATTCAAGGAACGGCAAGCACGTCTGAAGAAAATCCCTGGAATACTCACTTGGATTCTTCTTTTTCATCTTTTTCGTCTTCATCTCTCTTTTCCTCCTCCTTTTTCTCAGCTTTTTCGGCCTTCTCCTCCTCTATTTTTTCTTCGACTTTTTCTTCTTGGGAAGGACGTGAAATCTGTTGCTGAAATGGAATAATTCCAAGTTACACCACAAGGCTGGTGACCGGGGGACGGGGAAGAATCACAAGGTTTCAGACAAGAATCCAGGAAGGATCTCTTCCCCACTTCCTTCCAAATATCAGTAAGTAAACCAAGACCACAAGCCACTTGAATACTGAGATGGGGGCAGGGAGACGGACTCTCCCATGAAATCGAAGTACTCCTGTTGATGCCTGTGGGGCAGTCATGCAAATGCCATCACAAAAAAAGTCACAAGCCCATTTGTGCCAATACAGACATCCTGAGAAAAAGCAACAGAACCAGCACTTCTAGTTTACAAAGGTTTTCCCGCACCAACGAGGCTTCTGGCATCTAATGCTGTATACTGCACTGAGCCCACTTTGCAGGGAGAGCAGTATAAAAGTAGTAGTAGTAGTAGTAGTAGTAGTAGTAGTAGTAGTAGTAGTAGTAATATAGAATGTTGGTACTTGATGAAACATTTAACCTAGATTTGACTACTTAATTGGGACGGTTATTTTTCCGCAGAATGGTAAGACCGTGGGGCAATGCCACCAACAGTTTATGGAGGAACCAATGCTGCTACAGCCTTCCCAACACAAGATGAGGGACTGGGGCCACATGTGGTGCAATTTCACTGCAGCAAAGGCTACCTTGGTTAATAGGAGGCATGTAATATCCCCCCTCCCCCAGCTCACCAGGACACAGTTTTCATAGGAGCTTCTTTTCTGGGTCATGTAAACAAAGTAGATTCTCACATTGCCAAGCCAGTGAAATCTTATTCATTTTGTGCTGATCGAACACTAACAATATTCTAATACTCTGGTTGTTTGCTTAAGTGGAATATTTATTTACCTGCGTATTAAAAAAGTCTTTATAATTACTATTAGATTCATGCTTATTAAATTATTGGTTGGATCACTGCATTAATAAATGGGTTTTATTTGTTTGCCTTCATTTGATGGATAAACTGTGGTCTTTTTTTTTTTTTTTTTTTTTGCGATCTGCCATTTCAAAACTATGATAAATACTGTGCCAGGAAAGGGGGGGGGGGTAGATTATAATTTATCAGTTTACGGCATTGGTTTTTAAAACTTTTTAATTGAGTTTTAATATATTATGGGACAAAAAATATAAGGGTGGGAAGAGTTCAAGAGGTGGGATATGACAGAAAGGAAAATTTCATCAAATTTGTATAACAGCTGTTACATATTTTCAGTCTTAATTCTTTGTTTCCAGTTCTGTTTCTCTGTATAATTACTAAGGTTAGTGTCACTTAATCGCTGACATATTCTGTTATGTTTCCTGATAAGAGTCTAATTCTCTATAGTTCAAATTGGAGTTCCTCCAAATTTATATTATGTTTATTCATTGTTCTTGGTCTTTGAGGTTTCTTTCCACCCAGTCATAAAATAGTGTTCAGCTATTTCTTACGTTTCGTTTACTTCTGTCCTTCAATAGATTTGACAATATATCTATTTCTGCTATTCCAAATTTTTTTTATCAAAAGTTCATTTTCTGTTGGTATCTTTGCTTTCTCCCAATACTTAGCATATGAAATTCTTGCTGCTATAACTACATGTATAATTAGATATTTGACCTTCTTATCTTTTACATCGGGTATAATATTAAGCAAAAACATTTCAGGTTTAAATGGCGGAGGTAACAAACATATTTTCTGTCACATTTCATGGACCCTTCTCCAATATAACATTGCCTCTTTACACTTCCACCAAACATGTTGACCTGTCTTTCTCCTAGTAAGAGACTCAAGATGGTTTACGATGTTAATAAAAACAAAATAAGAGCACCCCATGCCTCTACAGCAACACAGACACACTGGCCTTGAAACTGAATCTACTAACCATTTTTTGGCCTTGCAAAATCTCCCAAAGCTTAACCAAACCAGGGACAAAAAAAGGAAAGTTGTTCAGTAAAGTAGGGGCCACTACAGAAAGTGTTCGGCAGTAGCTGTCTTCACCTGCCTGCAAAATAAGTATCCACAACAAGCCTTGATATACACAGCGACTTCTCACAGGTGACCAAGCAAGTGCCTATTTGCAACCCTGGCTGTCGGATGAGCTAGATAATTTATTGACTTATTTTGTTTACTTGATTTCTACACTGCCTTTCTCCTCAGTGGAGACTCAGCTTACAGTGTTATCTTCTCCATTTTAACCCACTACAACCCTGTGAGGTAGGATCAGCTGAGAGCGTGAGATTGGCTCAAGGTCCCCCAGCCAGTTTCCGTGGCAGAGGAGGGATTCTAACACTCTAAACACTACCCTACTTTTGATTTCATGAGAAAAGGGCAGCAAAAAGCCCCCACCCATCACTCTAAGGCATGCTTCCTTAATGCTCAGAAAACACATGTGCATTGAAGACTCAAACAGGTTTTAATCATCATTAGCACCAGCCCTGTAGGAATGGAGGTTGTTTAGGCTTATATTTTGTTGGCTCTGTTGGCGGGAAAGGGTTATAAGTTTAGCAGGACCCAGCCTTGCAAGTCACTGGAAGCAATCTGCTCCCAGCATAACTACATTCGGCTTCAAGGTTTTGTTACTGCGGAGGATTGTCCTTGTAAACCTCCCTAATTCTTATCAGCAGGCTGCCTTAGGGCAGGGGAATGGGCATAAGAAAAGGGAGCTGCTGTTGTTATTCTCTCACTCATTAGGCTTCGCAGGGTGGGGCTGGCTACACCCTGCGTTGAAAGGATGAACTGTGACTGAGATGGAACTGAGATGGAATTAACACTCCCGTTCTCTTCAACCTGATAATGGACTTATCTTAAGAACTGGTCTCACAGAAGTGAGCTTTGTTTTTATTGGTCCAGCGACCTGGCCTTTTACTGGGTTTTTTTGCCATTGCTTGTTGTTATTGGATGTTTTCTGCTTTGCATACATTCCTTCAACTGATTTTATTCAATTAAATGTGGTAGTCTTTTTTTTAAATCGTGCCCAGAATGTATTTTGCTGACTGACTGCATTTATCCATATAGATGAACCCCATGGTCTTCCAGACCAGACAATCCCCAAAGAACTATACTTTCACAAAGAGAGCTAGACTCTCCAATAGCAATCGATTCTCAACACCCTCGCCAAGCTACTATTCCCAGGATTCTTATGGGGGGGAGCCATCACAGGTGTTCTGATGCAAGTCAGATATCTTCTTATGCAGCACAGATGAGGCAGGGCTATTTTTGGGCAGGAACGCACAGGAACGGAGTTCCGGCTGGCTCCCATGTTGGCCACACCCAGCAGGAACTCATTAGGATTGGCTACATTAGGGGTGTGTGGCCTAACAGTTCCTGCTACAAAAAAAGGTCCTGGGTTTTGACAACAAACGAGGTAAACAGAATAAGAAGCGAAGGGTGGGTGTGGCTGGATGGCCACACTTCTGGTAACATGGGGGTGTGGCCTAATGTGCTAATGAGCTGTGCTGTCAGGGGTGTGGCCCGATATGCTAATGAGTTTCTGCTGTTGGCTCTGGCCTATTATGCTAATGAGTTCCTGCAGGGCTTTTTCTACAAAAAGAGCCCTGACTGATGAGGTATACCATTGCAGGAAGTTCACATGCGCAGAAGTGTTTCATGTCACTTCCAAGAAGATGTTATCACTAAGGTAGCCCCAGCTGACAGTCTTTAGTGACCATCCACCACATTACTGAACATGGACCCAAGGAGGACTTTCATGCCCCCTACACACAGGAGAAACGAATATGCTCAAAACATCACACGGTGTTTTTAACTATCCTCCTGACATCACTGTGTGATCCGGGGCTGGCTGCTGAACAGAGAGATGGTCCGGATCTCTGGCTTGAAACTTTGGTGAGTTCAGACTAAAACAAAGCAGTGCTGCCATGTCCAATGGCTCTGATAACACATAATTGCTTGTTTTAACAGACAGCACCCCAAGGTAGAGATGTGAAGGCCTGGGGAAAAACCAGAAAAATTCCGAAAAAAACCGTTTTCCCCCCGTTTTTTTCCTGAAGCCTTTTTTGTTTTTTTATGAAAAACTGGAAAAATCGGAAGAAAAGAAAAGAAAAGAAAATGATTATGGAACGTTTTATTTTAATATGATGAATAAAATATTTTAAGACAAGGTGTTCAAATATTTTCCAAATCATTTCTAATATATATAATGGTATCAGATTGATCTAATTTCTGTGCACTGAGGACAAGCAAGTCCTAGGTTACAAACTGAACTCTCCAATGCAAGAACAAGATGCATTTCTTCCTTTAGGAGGTGCGGTTGTCAGAAGAAAATAAAAAAGTTTCAGTTTTGTTTTTGCATGTGGGTGGGTTTGGATACACTATATTTTTAATATGCTAGTTGTGATAATTTCACGCCAGGTAAAAATGTCCATAGTCATATTTTATGTTCCTAAAGTAACAGAATGACTTTCAATCTAGAAAAGACAAAAGAAATGCTAATGTAGCATTTTTTTCAATTTTTCGGAAAATTTCCGTTTCCCCCGGAAAAAACCGGAAAAAAACCGGGTTTCTTTCCGAACTTCAAAATTTACAGAAATTTTACATCTCTACCCCAAGGGCAAACTGTCAGACATTGCTGGGGTTCAAATTTGCACTCTACAGCAGGTCTTAGAGCCAGTTGCTTTCTTTTGGCCTAATCTACCTTGCCTATCAAGCACCAAATACTAGATGCTTTCGAATTATAGTGCTGGAGAGTCCCCTGGACTGCAAGGAGATCAAATCAGTCAATCCGAAAAGAAATCAACCCTGACTGTCCCCTGGAAGGCCAGATCCTGAAGCTGAAGCTCAAATACTTTGGCCACCAAATGAGAACGGAGCATTCACTGGAGAAGACCCTGATACTGGGAATGATTGAAGGTAAAAGAATAAGGGGATGGCGAAGGATGAGATAGTTAGGCAGTGTTATCGATGCAATGAATATGAAGTTAAGCAAACTCAGGAGGATCTGGCGTGATGTGTTCCATGGGGTCATGAAGAGTTGGACTTGGCTGTGCGACTGAACAACAGCAACAA